CCAGCGCTGCCGCGAAACGGCGAAGGATCCGGCGAGCCGCCGGTGGGGGCGTTCGCGGGCTTGCCGGGGGCGGAGGCGGCGGAGATGTTGGGGCCTTGGAAGACGACGCCGCTTCCTCGATCTTCCTGCCGGTGGCAGTGTTGAGGTCGGGGATGGTGGCTCCGGGTTCGTCGGTCTCCGCCGGCGTGGTTGACTCCGGCTTCACAACGGAGTTGAGCCACTGCTCCTCCTCTTCGTTCGGTGTCACCTCCCACTCCATCATGGTGGGCACAGGGCCATAGCCTGGAGGGGCGAAGTGCTCCTCGTCTTCGTCGGCGGGCGTTGGCGTTGGGAGGTCCGGGTAGGCGAGCGGCTCATCGATGACCTCCGGTTCCGGTGGTGGAGTGGCCGGCGGTGAAGGGCACGGCCCGTACCCGTGCACGGGGCAGAAATCGCGGGCAGGGCAAGGGCCTTATCCGTGCACCGGACAAAAGGCCACGCCTGCATCCATGCCATTGCCGAATAAGACCCCCGGCGGTGGCGGGGCCTGGGCGGCGTCGAAGAACTCCTCGCCCAGGAACGGGGCTGCAGCCTCGCGGGAGCCCAGTCCATTGGCGGAGCGACGAAGGCCGGCATCGGGGGTGCCTGGTAGGCGTGGTGGACGGCGGCAGATGAGTTGCTTGGTCCTGCCTGTTCTGTGGCGGCGGGGCCAGGGTGCTCCTGACGACCACGGCGACCACGGCGACCGTTGCTTGGGCCCCAATGGCGAGGAGCACCAGCACTGTGGCGTATGGTAGATCGACGGATCTCCCGTCCAATGAATCGAATAAGGGCAGAGGTGATTCTATGCAGGTTCATCCCTGCCATCTTACCTTCTCGTCTCTTCTTGTTCGTGCTCTGTTGGTCGAGGCTAGCGTGGCTGATAACGTGTAAAGATTTGATGAAAAACTTGTGTTTTATTGATTCTAGGCAAAGCCCTATTTATACAAGGATTTGGGGCGCCTCCGGAGAGGCGTCCATTTACAACACGCGCCCGTGGCACGAGAAGACGCTCCATACGGCGCTTTGGACACACGTGACGACTCTTAGTGCTAATGACGTCGCTTTATTCTTAACACAAGTAACATCCCATAAGGCCATAATAGTCAGGCACGGGAACACGGAAAACTGCACGATCAAAAGGACACCCGTGGAGCAGGGAGAAGCACAGCGGTCGTTTGTGAAGATGGGTTGAAGAGGGCTAAGGATGTCACTGACGCGAGCGAGTGATTCTCGTGGGTATTGCATGGCCCATGGGAGCCAATTTCATGGATCAAAGTAGATCTTATGCGCCACCCATTTAGCAAAGCCACAATCAAAATAGCAAGCAAACTGCAGGTTAGTTGACACAGAAGCTACAACAGCGTGTCAAGTTTTTTTGACACATGATTGAAACAAGCAACAACAAGACGCAAAAGTAAATCCATAGCAAACGAAGTGTAATAATAGATGGCAACCACTTGATTCAAAGCCGGGAAAGGGTCATTTTCTAAACATGCAACACAATATCTCTCAAAATCTATAAATCCACAAGATCTGACTTAACATCATAAACGGAGTAGTACAGAACAAGTTGCAAGACACAGGATATCGATAGCTTGGTATTGTTCCATCCTTGAACGAGCATGGAATTACAGCCTCCTTCCTCTTCTACCACCCTTCCGGCGGGTGCTGTCAGTTGGGACCGGGGTAACATCCTCTGCTCAACACAAAAAGAACATCATGGATTAATCCGCTGTATGACATCATAAACTAAAGTGGAAAATAAAACATCCTCTGCTCAACACAAAATAAACATCATGGATTAATCCGCTGTATGATATCTGTCAGGACCCTGCCTGAAGATAACAACAGCGGCAGCTTCTTCAGTTAACTCGGCGTAACGCTTCATGAGGATGATTCAAACTGGACCAACCGATCGCCATCCAGTGCACCCCAACCCTCGTACCGCTTCGCGCACTGGCGGGATGATCTGGAGCGTGGATTGTTGATCGGACGGTGGCCGCTACTTCAGCTGTCACTGTTACCTTTCCGGCAACTCCACTTACTCTGTTATTTCCTCTGTTTACTTTTACTCATGTAATGGCTATAAAGCCAGGATCGAGAGGCTGGGAGAGGCATCGAGTAATTGTATTAGGGTTTCCCCCTAGCCGCCGTGTTCCGGCTGGCAAATCTGTTCCTCTTGCTGTAAGAAACCCTAAGTTAATACCACCCAATTTCACCCCCCTGTTCTTGATGTTTTCTGAAATTGCGAGTAGCTAGAGTCCCCCCATAGCTCGGGCCTTACAATATCATAAACTAAACTGGAAAATGTAAGGTTCAAATCACGGTAACTGGCATCCAAGGCAAAATTAATCAACATTGATCATAACATAAACATAGTATGCAGAAAGGACAAGCAAAACATCAGTCCATATCAAAACCAAGCCAGCCATGTGACCAGACGATTTCAAGAACTATTGACTGCCAGACAAAATAAGAAGACAAGCCTTGCAACTGCAATGTATGGCAGAATAGTTTTTTCCCAGAAGCAAATGAGATGAAATGACACGGCACAGCATACACAAGGGCACCACAGGCTTACCAATACGTCCAATCTTCATGCCAGAACGTGCAAGAGCTCTAAGCGCAGCTTGAGCACCAGGACCTGGAGTTTTTGTCTTGTTTCCACCAGTAGCACGGAGCTTAATGTGCAGAGCAGTAATTCCAAGCTCCTAAACAAGGGGATCACCATATGTATCAGTGGAGATTCATCAAATTTGACTACCACCATACTTGAACATGACCACATCAATTTTTTTAGTACCTTGCATCTTACAGCAACATCCTGAGATGCAAGCATAGCTGCATAAGGGGATGATTCATCACGATCAGCTTTGACCTTCATGCCACCTGTAAAATGCAATTATTTAGTACAATCACAAATTTATAAGACATAAAAAAGAAACTGATAGATGTTGAGCATCACAGAAGAACCGACAGTCAATCACTCTTTAGTGTCATGGCAGATACAAGTTTTAGCTAAAAAGGTATAAATAGCCAAGAAAAACCATTCAATCCTTAGTGAACTCAGTTCACTTCTTCAACCACCAAATAAGAGACTACACATAGAATATTTCTACTACTAATATGTTATATTCAAAAAGACATCTGAAATGTTCTGAAGATATTGTACAGCCAATATCTAAAATCTTCAAATGTAACTTAGAAGTAATCACAAACGAAAGCATGTACTTCCAACATTTAGGCGTCTCCATTTTAATTGGCAAAGAGTTGCAAGGGTGTAGAACTCAGCAGAAGCAAGACAGAGAGCATCTGCTTCATACAGACCATACATCACAAGAAACTGAATGGAAAGATGAAGACACCTGTTAATGAAATTGGAAGTTGAGTTCCAGAGAAAAACTCTCTAGAGCGGTAGAGCCCCATATGAATCTTGCACAGCAATGACTCGACACGCTCCCACAGAACAAAAAGGAGGCAATCTTAAGGGCGGTGCTTACAAAAGGTTGATAGGATCAAAAATGAAACTCAATATGGAAGACAGCATGATCAGAAGAGGTGGTTCATAAGAAGTAAGCAAGACAAATATAGATCAACAATCTCGCTCAAGTTTTAACCTATGATAACCTCACATATGAACTAATAATTTTCACATAAATAGAAGACGGCATCCAGATCCCAAACTGAATAATCAAATAGTTAACGGATAAGGACATTTGGCTCAGATACCCTATTGAGTTTCTGCATGAATCAATTCCATTAAAGAAAAAGGTGGACATTAAGCCATACTGACAAGCAAAATACCAATACTACCTACCAAACAAGAATGTTGGTTCAGTGAAATGTTTTTTCAAAGAACCAACCATCATGCTGATTTTTTAGATACAACTACAGGAGTGCCAATATGCACTTGGTTCAGTGAAATATAGTCATATCAAGCATGTTCACTTCCAGAATTTAGGCAGCTCCATCTAATGTTACAAAGAGTTGCAGGAGTGAAGAACACAGCATGAGCAGTGCATAAAGCAGCTGCTGCCTGCTGGCTACATACACTACAAGAAACCCAATGAAATGATGGAGACAGCTCGAACTAAAACAGGAAGAGAGGAGGTTCCAGAGAAGAACTCTCCGGATCCTCGTTTTCAATCTTGCATGGCTATGACTCGACACGCTCCCACGGATGAAAAGGGAGGGGATCTTAAGGGCCATGCTTGCACACAAAACTTAAAAACATACAAGTTCATAACAAATCATGAAACTTGACTATATACTGTTCCAAACGAACATATCTCTACCAGTACGAGACGATGCTTAATAGAAACAAATCACCAACATGTATACATCAGCCACCACGCCTTACTAGTAAAGGTAAATATAAGAAGAGATGTGATTACCGGTGATGCGGACGAGCGTCTCCCTCCCGGACAGATCCGTGACATGCTGCGACAGCGAAGCCAGATGTGGCAAGAGTTTCAGGTCCGCGGTGCAAACAAAAAAGCAGCAAGAAAGGCGGCGTGTCCTTGGGATCTTACGATGAAGGTGTCGTTGAAGGAGGCGAAGATGTGCGCGACGCCGAAGACGTGCTCCCCCTCGCGGACGGCGGGGCCGAGCGTCACGTTCTCCTCCTTGGGCTCGCGGGTCTTCTTCCTCCCTGACTGCACGAACAGACACAGCAACGGACGATGCCCAGATGGATAAGCACAAGAATCAAGTCTACAGCGAGTTGACGGGGAAGGAACGAGCGACGAGGCGTTACCATGGCGGCTGCGGCGGCGTCGGCGTCGGCGGCGGCGGCGAGAGGAGGAGGAGGCTAGGGTTTGGAGTGGACGAGAGATGAGCTGCGGTGGGGAAGTGCAGGAGTGGGCAAAGATAAAGCCTCCCGAGAGTGGGCCGCGCCCGGTTTTGGATGCGTGGGTCGCCTGGTTATACGGGCTGCATTTTGCGCCGAGCTCTCTGAACTATACTGGGCTTGCATGACTAAATATTGGGCTAAGGGTGCGTGTTTGTGTGTACCGCAACCCGGGTGTCCAGTTTTTTTTTAGGGTTTTTTTTTAGCATCACGTGCATACACTCACCCCTATGAACGCACACACGCACACCCTACCCCTATGAGCACCTCCGAGAGACTGAGCCGACATATTATCTTGAGATTTACGAAGTCACCGTAGGTGCCTCGTCGTCGACGGGAACGTCTCCTCCCACTGAAAGCGTATCGCCGAAAATCCTGAAATAAATCCAGGAATAATGCGAGCACCATGATTTGAACCCTGATGGGTTGGGAATACCACTGTCCACCTAACCAACTCAACCAGGTGTTTGGTTCGATCGTTTGGTAACGTAACCTGATAACAGCGGGAACTGAAAACGTTATTTTCTGTTTGGTTCGAGTTAAGCGTAATGAGGTCCCGTGTAATCAGATTACGCTACCGTTCAAATCTGATTCCGCCCACACCCCTCCGGTATCGGGTACCTCCCGATTTTGTAGCAGCAGTTATTCTCTCGGTCTAGAACAAAGGGGCAAAGACGCACATGCTTGGGGGCTTGCGAGACCAGCGGCAGCCGGCGGCGCGCGAGACCGGCGGCGGCCGGCGGCGCACGAGATCGGCGATGGCCGATGGCGCGCGAGACCGGTGCCGGCTGGCGGCGCTTGAGATCCTAGACAGCCGGGGCCTAGCAAGAGCAGGTCGCTGATGAAGAGGATCATGGTCGGCAAGCGGGATCAATTCCTTTACGTGAGCGAACCAAACAAACTTGGAAAGAATACATTACACCTCCTAAAACGCCGTGATCTGTGATCTGATTACGTTTACGTTTACGTTACCATTTCTCTAGCCAAACACCTCCTTATATACATACTCGTACATTATAACTGAGCACTTTTCCTGCCCTCTCAGACCATTAGCGTTATCAGCCGTTGAATCCTTAGTTTGGCGCATTTGTGACCGTCAGACTTGCTCTCGGTCGCCCTAATCAGCCCCAGTCCGCTATTAACGAGCGCCAACAGTTATGGGTCGTTGCTCTGGTGTCATTTTTCTTGTTCCGTGGTAATCTCAGCCTAATGGGCCTTTACCAGCTCTTTTCCCAAAACAAAAACATTGTGTCGATCGGTGGAGTCGCGTACCTCCCATCCCTTTTCGTGAGGCGACCGACTTGAGTGACGGCCGATGTCGGGCCAGAGCAAAGGATCCATGGAGATCGTGCTGGTTCAGGCAGGGCCTTGGCCGGATTCGGCTCGATTTACTCGATCCATTCAGTTGCACGGCGCAGCAGGATGGTCAACATGCATTCGCCCTTTGAAGTTCTATCGCCAATCCGATGACGATTGATTGATTGAGAGTTTAATCAGCCATTACTACAAAATCGATGCGCGGGCTGCTAGTTACTGCAGGCCAATTACAATTGGTGATTCGCAATTTTCATTCAATTTATGCACGCCCATATAATCCATATAACTGAGCACTTTTCCTGCCCTCTTAGACCATTAGCGTTATCAGCTGTTGAATCCTTAGTTTGGCGCATTTGTGACCGTCAGATTTGCTCTCGGTCGCCCTAATCAGCCCCAATCCGCTGTTAATGAGCGCCAACAGTTATGGGCCGCTGCTCTGGTGTCATTTTTCTTGTTCCGTGGTAAATCTTGGCCTAATGGGCCTTTACCAGCTCTTTTCCCAAAACAAAAACATTGTGTCGATCGGCGGAGTCGCGTACCTCCCATCCCTTTTCGTGAGGCGACCGACTTGAGTGACGGCCGATGTCGGGCCAGAGCAAAGGATCCATGGAGATCGTGCTGGTTCAGGCAGGACCTTGCCCGGATTCGGCTCGATTTACTCGATCCATTCGGTTGCACGGCGCAGCAGGATGGTCAACATGCATTCGCCCTTTGAAGTTCTATCGCCAATCCGATGACGGTTGATTGATTGAGAGTTTAATCAGCCATTACTACCAAATCGATGCGCGGACTGCTAGTTACTGCAGGCCAGTTACAATTGGTGATTCGCAATTTTCATTCAATTTATGCACGCCCATATAATCTCAACCTTTCCGCTGCTCATTCCCCACACTTCCGTAAATCATTCTCTAAAAACTATGGGTGATTTTAGGTCTCCAGTTCTCCCTCCTTCCTACATCTCCTCTTCCCCCAATTATTCCTCCATCGCTGGAATATGTTCTCTTTATGATGTTCATAGTGTCCACAAAAAAATTGCAGGTTCTGTACATGGACAAGTTCTAGCAACATACTGTTGGGTTTCTTACCTTTTTCTAGCTGAATTTGTCGGTATCCAATGGCTAATGCACGGGTTAGTATCAATGTCCTCTTGTGCCTCGTTTAACTAAATTTATGCTTGATCTCAATATCTGTGTCTATGTACCTTTTAATCGTATGATATGATGATAGTCTCTATAGTTGTTTAAAATAATTATATCTTATCTAGCAGGTTATTTAGCAAGTGAAAAATGCCAAAAAGAAATATACAAGGCGTTGATGCGTCCACATCACACTATGGATAAAATGAAAATATTGTGGGTCACCCCGACGCTGTTGTCCGTGCTGGCGCACTGGTTTTTTGCATGTGGTGTTCCTCTCCTTGCTGTGCTAGGGGCCATTGTTCTTGTTGCATCCTACTTACCTAGGTTAGCACCTTTCCTGATTGACTTCTGGATCGATTTGAAGCTGGGATGTCGAGTTTCTTGATTTTCTCATGACACTAATTTTCCAGTCAGGTGAGCATCTCACATTAATGACCAAGCTAATTTAGGCTAATCCAGGCTAAGAAATGAGTTCTCAAATGAGTTGCCAGCAGTAGTTTTTTATGAGCCTACCCACGTGCCAGAGTAACTATCTTGATTTTAGTTTGTGATGCTGATTATTTACATTTCAGAGCTCATTTCTTATGACTTCTTGTGTGTATCATGATAGATTGTATACAACTGATCGTAACTCATTTTATTATTCAGAGACTTCCAACTAATTACCATATGCTAATAATTCTCTTTTCTTTTTTCCTTCCTTTCCATTTGCCAATTACATAGGTTCATTAGAAATCCAACTGTCAATGAGAATGCCATGAACCTCATTTTTGGTTCAATAGATCGTTCAACTTCTTTTATTTAATTTGCATGTGGAAAACAACATATGCTATTTTTCCATTTATGTTTCAACATACACATGCGCACACGTTTGTACTAGTTAATTGTTCGCGAAACAATCTGCCGACATACTCACATGGCACTTTAGTTTTGTTGTCTTATTATTTCCCTTTTACTCTGCTCTCTATTTTTCCATCTTGCTTCACTTTCGATCAATCGTCACAGCATTTGCTTATATCAATTTTTTATTCTCAAATGCACATCGCCACAAAGATGAGCTTCCAAAGTACATCATACACAGTATGTACCTTCCTGTGCCCGACGCACTGGACTGGAGGCAGAGCGGCGCTGTCACCATGGTCAAGCACCAGGGCAAGCGTGGTAAGCACCATGCTTGTGAATCTGTTGTTCTACACTTGACCTTGCAGCGCTCATCTATATTCCCTATTCAAATTTTATTGTTTGTGTACTTGTTTGGTTTTATTGCTAAAGCTTAGATATTGACATGTGGTGCATAAGCACTTCAAAAGCATAGTGATCCATTAACTAGAACCCATGTTAGGGAGCAGAAGCTGACAGGTACGAGCTAACCACCCTTGCATAACTCGTTAGGTAACAATGGTGGTAGATAAATTGGTTTGCACTTGGCAATTAGCAACTTGTTTACCTATCATACTTGGCAAAGATCATCGCGCCCACTTGGAAAAGTGGTTGAAAAAATGTCTTTGTTTAGTTTTTTGCAGGCCCAATTTCCAGTTTTACTACCTACATTTCTCCAAATTATACTGGCTGTAATCACTTCTCTTCCTAATAGTACATCCACAAAGTTTTTTATCCTTGGTACTAAAACTTTGATATTGAGATGTTGTCACACAACTACATAAAAGCATAGTCGTACTTAGATATGTATGACCAAGACATTTTTTACGACAAATAACTCCAATAAATAGAATCCATGCAAGCGAGCAGAAGCTGATACAAACAAGCTAATCTCCCCATTACATAACTTGTTAGGAATTAGAGGCATTTAGCAACATGTTTGCCTGCAGTACTAAAAAGTCAAGCCCAGCTAGAGAAGATGTTGAAAAGTGTCTCTGATTAGTTTTTCGCAGGCCCAGTTTGCAGTTTTACTGACTACATTCCTTCAAGCTATGTTGGTTTTTAGTCCTTCAGCTCTTCCCAATAGTAGACCCATGAACTTTATTATCCTTCAAATGTGAAATATATCAAGGAAGTGCCTGCTCTAGTACCGACTGCTTGGAAAATTAGATAAATAAGTTAGAGCTAGAGAGTTATGCTCTAACTCCTTGTGTGATTCATAGGTGATATTGCTTTTTAAGGCGTCCCACACGAGAGAATTCTTCTAACCATTTTGTTAGCTTTTGCGGTTTGGCCATGGAAATAGACATGTGCTGCTTTATTATGTAGACCAGTTATGTATTACGCCTTAAATAAGAATCTTATAAAAAAATTGTTATGCTCGCGGCAATCTATAATTCTAGGTTTGGGATTATTTTAGGTTGCCGATGGCTATACTGGAAATGTGCAGTTTAGGGATGCTATATAAGAATTGTGTGAGCACTCATGTTTTACAAATTAGGATCACAACAGCAGAAGAAGTGAAGGTGCAAGTATCTGTTTTCGTTAAGTCACTCCTTTATACTTGTATTGTTTCGTTTTACGCAAGTGCCTTGATACAAGATGCTTAAAGTATTTTTCAGTTTTACCTCGTTCCTTATTACTAACCCACAACCGTACTATCGGTTAATGTGGTCTGGACTGTCATTCAGGTGCTTGTTGGAGCTTCTCAGCTACACGTACCATGGGAGTTATAAACAAGATCACGACGGGCTCTCTTCTCAGCCTTCCTGAGTAGAAACTAATCGGTTGTGACAGATCCCACAATGCTGGTTGTGGTAGGTAGGTGAAGGAAATATGCCCTAGAGGTAATAATAAAGTTGTTATTTTATATTTCCTTATTCATGATAAATGTTTATTATTCATGCTAGAATTGTATTGATCGAAAACCTAAATACATGTGTGAATACATAGACAAACACTGTGTCCCTAGTGAGCCTCTACTTGACGAGCTCGTTGATCAAAGATGGTTAAGGTTTTCTAACCATGGACATGAGTTGTCATTTGATAGCGGGATCACATCATTAGGAGAATGATGTGATGGACAAGACCCATCCGTTAGCTTAGCATAATGATCGTTCAGTTTTATTATTATTGCTTTCTTCATGTCAAATACATATTCCTTCGACTATGAGATTATGCAACTCCCGGATACCGGAAGAATGCCTTGTGTGCTATCAAACGTCAAAACGTAACTGGATGAGTATAAAGATGCTCTACAGGTATCTCCGAAGGTGTTTGTTGACTTGGCATAAATCGAGATTAGGATTTGTCAATCCGAGTATCGGAGAGGTATCTCTAGGCCCTCTCGGCAAAGCACATCATAAGAAGCCTTGCAAGCAAAGTAACTAATGTGTTACTTGCAGGATGATGCATTATGGAACGAGTAAAGAGACTTGCCGGCAACGAGATTGAACTAGGTATGTAGATACCGACGACCGAATCTCGGGCAAGTAACATATCGATGGACAAAGTGAATTACGTATGTTGTCATAACGGTTCGACCGATAAAATCTTCGTAGAATATGTAGGAGTCAATATGGGCATCCAGGTTTCGATGTTGGTTATTGACCGGAGAGGTGTCTCGGTCATGTCTACATAGTTCTCGAACCCGTAGGGTCCGCACGCTTAACGTTCGATGATGATATAGTGTTATATGAGTTATGTGATTTGGTGACCGAATGTTGTTCAGAGTCCCAGATGAGATCACGGACATGACAAGGAGTCTCGAAATGATCAAGAGGTGAAGATTGACATATAGGACGATAGTATTCGGACACCGAAAGTGTTCCGGAGAGTATCGGGCACATATAGAGCCATTGGAAGGGGTTCCGAACACCTGCGGCAAAGATATGGGCTTAATTGGCCAAGCGAGGGACATACCAGCCCACAAAGGGATGGTGTGCCCCTCCACCAAGCCGGCCAGCCCTAGGAAAAGAAAAGGGGGGAGGGCAAGTCTCTCCTTCCTTCCCCTCCTCAAGGGAGAAAGGAAAGGGGGGGGGGCGCCACCTCCCCCTTCCTTCCCGTCGCGCCTATACAAGGAAAGGGGCGAACCAGGGCAGGAGCCCAAGTGGGATTCAGCCCCACTTGGGGCGCCCCTTGGCCTCTCCCCTCTCCCTCCCACCTATATATACGAGGAGGGGGCGCCTAGCACACACAACATCAATTGTTAGCCGTGTGTGATGCCCCTCCACAGTTTACACCTCATACTCTCACGGTGCTTAGGTGAAGCCCTGCGCGGATCACTTCACCATCACCGTCACCACGCGCGTCGTGCTGATGGAACTCATATACTTCATCGACGTCTTGCTGGATCAAGAAGACGAGGGACGTCATAGAGCTAAACGTGTGCATAACTCGAAGGTGCCGTACGTTCGGTGCTTGATCGGTCGGAGCTAGAAGAAGTTCGAGTACATCAACCGCGTTGTCAAACGCTTCTACTTTTGGTCTACGAGGGTACGTAAACACACTCTCCCCTCGTTGTTATACATTTCCATGTATAGATTACTGCGTGTGCGTAGATTTTTTTCGTTTTCCATGCAATGTTTCCCAACGGTAGGCTCATGAACTATGCTTATAAGTTTGTGATTAATAATGGTGGGAGTGACACGAAGGATGACTGCATGTTTGGTGAATCAGATGGAACATGCTACAAAAACAAAGTAAAATGGAGGTGTAGTTGTGTAGAACAAAAACAAAAACTACCTTGAGCATGTTTTAGGCTCATGATCTGTCATATCCATGCAATTTGTCTCCTTGTTTCACAGCTAAAAAAGCATATGATAATAATTGATGGCTATTGAAGCGACGTCCTGCCGGTGTATATTAGGGACGCCTGCATCAACGATGACGCATGCACCAACAATGACGCCTTCAAGGTGATGTGGAAGTGAGGCCAGGGCATGGGGATCCTGGTGGTCAAGTGCGCCAAGGAGACCGACGCGTTTTACTCGCTCATGACCCAAGCAGTGATTTTCCATTGCCTCTAGATGTATTATCGACTGTCGCTAGCCTCTGGTTTTAGACGTGAACTTGCATGTATCCGTATTTCATATTGCTATATTTTGAGTCTAATGAAATAACATCGGACGCGTCTAGCTGGCGCCCGGGCGCTTGGGAGGGTTACCGAGCGGCTGACATAAAAGGAAAGACCTGGTCGGGGCGCGTGGTCAAAAAGGAAAGTCTCCAATCCTCCCGCGCGCGAAACATCAACTACCAACCACGGTGCCCGCGTGCGACAGCTGGCCGTGGGGATCACGTGAACCCAACCACCCGCCCACGCCTTTGTACCTCCACACCTGAATCTCCCCTCTAACTACCCCCACGCCATCTACTTCTTCCCCATGAAAGAAGGATTTGCCATGGTGAAACCTCCATCGCCAGGAAAATCCATGGCGGCTCCAAAAATTAAGAACAGAAGAGGGGAAGAGAGGGAGAAAGGGAAAAAGAACCAGGAAAACATCAAGAAAAAGCCAAACAAAAAGGAGCAAACAAGAAGGACAAACGTACCAGGAGGAGAGAACTCCAGGAGAGAATTCCCCTTCCTCTGCTTTGCTTCCTCCCTTGACATGACTTGCAGACTTGTCCTCTAGCTGGTTTTCTTGAACGAACCTTTGATTCATGAATTTGGTACATAAATCACATGGATTATGTAGGGGGTTGGCATAGAATCTGTGCAACCAATATGCTGCTTTTGTGCAACCAATCAAGTTACATCAGCCAATTGTAGCAACACTGTGTGCCAAAAAAAGTAAACAAGTTGGTGCAACTATATACTGCTTTCGTGCAACTAGACAAGTTGCAGCAGCCACCTGTAGGCACACAACGTGCATAAAAGATTGTTCACACCAACATCCGATGAAAATAGATACAAAATAGGCACAAAAGATTGTTCACACCAACATCCAACATATGCCCTGCAGTTGGCACAGTTTGACCTTCAGGTGGCACATTGGCTATTGGGGGTGGCACATCTGGAGTTACAGTTGCCTCACTTGATATTGTACTTGGCAGAGTGATTACTGGAGCTGGCACAGATGAAAGTGTGTTTCCCTCACTAGTTGCGGGCGTTAGCCCATCAGATGATGCATTATGCATGTGTTGACCTGCAGCTGGCTCACTAGGTGTTGGAGTTGCCACAGTAGGTGCTCGGGTTGCCGATTTCCTACATGCAATGCTGACATGTTGAGATGGCACTGAATCAGGATTGGTTGGCACTTTGTACCTCAACAACTGCTGTAGATGAGGAACCGCC